TGGGTCCCAAATTTACTATATGGGTCTATAGGAGTGAGTAAGGATGAGATTAGGTCCCTATATGGGTCTATAGGAGTGAGTAAGGATGGGAATAGGTCCCTATATTACTATATGAGTCTATAGGAGAAAGTAAGGCTGGGATTGGGTCCCAAATTTACTATATGGGTCTATAGGAGTGAGTAAGGATGAGATTAGGTCCCTATATGGGTCTATAGGAGTGAGTAAGGATGGAATTAGGTCCCTATATGGGTCTATAGAAGTGAGTAAGGATGGAATTAGATCCCTATATGGGTCTATAGGAGTGAGTAAGGATGGGATTAGGTCCCTATATGGGTCTATAGAAGTGAGTAAGGATGGAATTAGATCCCTATATGGGTCTATAGGAGTGAGTAAGGATGGGATTAGGTCCCTATATGGGTTTATAGGTGAGATAACATTATTCCTTACATACAAAAACCACAACAATTGTTACTTGTATTGATATAATATCATATACGTAATTCTAAGCAGTTGGTGTATATATATATGAGGATTTTTAATAATTAATGTTTTTAATGCATACTATCATGTTGGCTAAGCACTAGTATATAATGTGCACATTAACTAGGAAAATAATGTCAGCCTTTTATATTTAGTGTCCTTGGATATACTTATTTTCAATACCAAACCAATTTTTCATAGAAAACTTGTTTTGGCATTAAAGGATTTTAGTTGGATAAAAGGAACCCTCTCTTGGACAAGATGTGTGTTTTTCTTATCATTGTGCTCATTCACTGCATCTTGTGATACATTTCAGCATTCTGATTCTTGCCCAATGAGAAGGCACTCTGCTTTTTTTGTAATATGTCAGCGTTAATACATTAATAGTGAACATTTGTTTTTTTTAAAAGCAGCTATAATCTTTAGTATAATTTTCTTAAATTTTTCCCAGTTTGCCCCTGATGAAGAAAGATCCACCTTTCGAAAACACTTGGATTATAGGGTTTTTGTATTGTTTCTTTGAACCTATGTGTTATCCTACCATCATAAGTATACTTTTCTAGTTCTATTGTGGTATATGAATATATAATGTATTTCTTATAATATTTATTCTGAATTTAGTCTTTAATCTGTATAGATGCAGGTTTCTCATAACATGTGATCGAGAACAAGGGCGGTGGAATTTCTTTCAAACTGGAAGTCACCAAAGGCAAGGAACATTGGTGATACAATGGGGCACAGTTTATGGTAGTACAAAAATGCTACTCATAGTAAATATTAGAGATATAAAGGCTTAGCTATTTAAGGTTTCACACTTAATAAATAATTTTAATGCAAGATCAAATAAAATATAAATATGTAATACACTCTAAAGTACCATTTATATCATATCAGAAAAACACTTTAGTCACAAGGAACTACGTGTTTAATTTCATACTTCAATTTAAAAAAACTTAATCGGTGTTGTTTAAATTTAATGAGAAGGCATATTTACAACTTTATTACATCCTCAGAAGTTGCTAGAATTTTGGATCTTTTAACAAAATTTTCAATGTTTTCCGAGTGCTTTTTTTGAATAAGTGTGACCGTTACTCTCTCAGTTACATGTGCGTGTATATATAAACACACACACACAAAGTACGATGACGTATGCAAAAAAAAACTATTCTTTGTCCAATAGCTAAATTAACTTCCTTAACCCTCCTCATTGGTGGGTAATGACCGGAATACGAAGGAGTTAATGTAATAAAAAAGAACTTGGCTGAAGTTAGCCATATCCAGTTTATGGCATACATTTACTCTAGTACTATTAAGCTTTAAAGCTCCTGTTAGTTTTTCTTATATTCTTTGCTGAACATACCATGAGAAGAGCATATCTAAACATTTAAGGTCAAAGGCAAGCAGGGTACTTAGGTAGGTGTAATATTACTATAAGGGTTTTACTGTTAAATCACAACTGTTAAAATGTCTTTTTAGTAATGAGACTAACGCAAAAAAAATACCATTAAATATAGATGTGTCATGGTATGAATGGTGAAAAATAATGACATCTTTTTAACATGAGAATAATTCAGAGAAAAATGGTACTACGAGAGATCGTTATAGCTTTTCTTTATTAGTTTTGACATAAGTAGTGCCCCACTACATGCTGATCTTCTTCCAACACTTCAAAAGAGAAGGTGACACGATAAAAATAAAGGATACATACATATATATGTATATCAACTATTATATGTCATAATTTTCATATCTACGCTATAATTACTTTTCTTAGTTTATTTACTAAATGTAAGTCTACTTGAAGAACTGTACACATATACAGAAGAAAGCTGCTGTGCGTCTGAAATTCTTAGTTCATAATTTCATACAAATATTTTTTTTCTATAGTCAACATTATCTTTCTATGCTTTTAAGAAAATTAAATTTCCATCCCTTTTAAAGCATTTTTTACGTCAATCATTATAATACTCTACATAACTTCAATCTGTACAGTTACCCGTTACAACTATCTAAACTATTACCAAACAAAAGGCACATTATATTTCAATTATCTTAGTGATTTTTTTCAGTCTTGTTATGAGTGCCGAGAAGACAGAATCTGCCACTTCTTGAAACTTGGAAGTCCATCTAACTCATGACTGCTTGAAGATCTCATCAACTCTGAAAAAATCAGAAAATAATGAATGTATATGAAGAAACATTCAGTGTGTATCAAACATAAATAGACTGCTTACCGTTTTACAACTTGTCGATAACATACATTTCCTCCGTCACTTCCTATTTCATATGACGGAAAAATTGGATGTGTAAAGTTAAAGGTCTCCAAATTTAGTATCACAAAACACTTAGAAGTAATTTCCAACCATTTTGACATAAATACTTTTAAACTAACCATAATCCATCCAACATGCCCCATATCTGTATAAACTCAACAACATGATAGTGTAACACATCTATACGTTCAATCATAGTCTCTGTTTTGCAATTTGCTTATATTATAAACTCACTGATCACAAAATTAAATTTTCGTACAGAAAATATCACAGTGTATATCACTTAAATAGAAACATTTCAAAGCATGGCCTTATGAATAAGCCAATCACTGAGGATGTCATCTTATAACTAGTGACTTTCTTTTTGTTCATTTGTTTTATTTTATTCAATATTTTGTTTTACTTATTACTAGTAGTAGCTTGCATACCACCATTTGGAATGAATGCATTAGAAAATTGTAAATAATGGTATAACTATTCATGCTGAAGTATGAGAAACAAAATTACTTAAATATGACTGCATTCAGTCAGTAATTATTATTATTGTATATAACTCACTACTCGTGACTTTTTTTACACTTTAAATATACTAGTTTTTTTTACAAACTGTTACACTATATCAAAATCTAGTAGTGTACAAACGTTTTTTTGACAACTATCTTGTAGCTAATGATGGAAATTAGCAGAAATAAAACTAGCAGTCTAAGTATCCTTTTTTTGTGTGACTATTCATAAATCCAAGTCCTATTACGACATTACAGCAACGGGGTGTTCTGACTTTGCCATTACCCGTTTCTGTTTCATGGATGAAATATTTTTATTTCTTTTATAGTTGAGGGGTTTAGGGTAAGGAAAACAAAATGAAAACTAATATTACTTTGAAAAATACTATAACCTACCTACTTATAAACACTAATATCTATATTTCGAACCAAGTATTTTACTAAATAACATTTCCTTTGTTCTGGTTGCAGGAACAAGTAAGACTTCTATGAAATTACTACTAAAATTATAGTTACGGAAAAGAGACACCAAAGTATGTCATTTGTAAGTGGCAGTAGAAGAAAGTACTGGGTACAATATTTGTATTATTGTTATTCATTTTTAAACTATACGCATTCAGTTTAACTGTTTTGTTTTTATCCATAGGATTGCAAGCACAAAATACTTCTCGCATTAACAGTGGTCAAAATCCAACTAGAATGTCGTATATTTACATATAATCAAAATTTAGTATAAATTTTTCTTATCGTTTGAGTTTCGTCAGAGATGAAAATAAAACTTTTATAATTCCCTACATTTAAAATCCAGTTTTTATTCAAATAAAACATTATACACGTCTAACTAACGTCTTAGTTCCCACTGGGAAACTAAGGATCAATTTATAATATTTAATGAAACTAAACTTTATGTTTGTTAAGCCTTCCTCTTAGGAAAACTTAAAACACAACTTGAAAAACCAAAACATTAAATATAACATTGTAAAGACTGTCAGTGAACAGCGTCTTATAGTTAAAACTTTTTTTCATTTGAGACAAAAACTTTACTTAGAGGATTTGTACTGTGAAATAGAATATTTTACTAACATGTGTTACATTTCGTTTTGTTTTTACCAAGGCATAAACAAAATGTAAAAAAATGTTATTTTCTATTTCTCATTATTTCAAGCATGATAACAAAGTGAAACTTGATGTTCCTTAGCAGGTAAATGTAGTGGAATTTAGTAAAAATCCAAGTATTTAAAAAATATATATTTGTAAAAACTAAATAGTAGCAAGTGTTAAAGTAATTTCTGTAGTAGAGCATAATTAAACAAAACAAAAGTTGATAAGATAATAAGCAGTAGACGGGTAAAATGATTTGATTAAGTTTTCTATTAAATGAAATAATTGTACATTATAGGTGTCACATGCTCACAAAGACTCCTGGACAGTTTGCTGCTTTGTTTGTTAGAGCAAAGCTACATTGGGCTATCTGCTGTGTCCACTATAGGGAACCAAACCCCAGATTCGAGTGTTCTAAGTCAGTAAACTTACTGCTGTGCAACCAGAGGACAATATGGACAGAAAAACAATCTTAACAAAATTTGGACTCTGTAAAAATTAAGAAAACATTGCTTAACTATCACTGTTTGTATATCATACATGTTTTACATATTTACATAGAATAAGAGGCATCTCAGAAAAGCTTCCATCTTTGTGTGTTTTCATACAATTGGGTAGGATAGGAATTGCCTAAAAAAATAAATGTTATCTATCTGTAAGTAATGATATGACTATTACACAGAATATCTATGAAGTTACATCCAAACTTTGTACACTGGAATACCTGCACACTGTACTTGAGACTGAATTCACATTCTGTACATAACTGCTTTACACTTGACTGATTTAAAAGTTAGTTTTATTGTACAGGTAGTTTTCAGCATGGTGTGGGTTCTACATTATTCTCACGTATATATAGATGGAAGTGTACTTAAAAATCAGAGAATAAATTAATGAAAGTAACAAACCTTGAGCCAAACAGCTACAGAACATCATCATCTAGGTTTTGATTCAAAAGTTCTTCTAGAGAATGTGCCACTACTTCTGACTGGGATAACGGTGAGAGGCAAGGCTTGTCTCTGTCCTTTTGTATCCACTACTGTCCTTTTCTCTTTCTGAGTTGCAATTAATGATTGAAGTGTAAAGATTTACTTCCTTCGTACTAAAATATCTTAATGATGACGAGAAACCCACTTGAAGTAAAAATGTATAGCAGAAATGGCTGGTATGGGTATTAAAAACTTTAATCAAATTATTTTTAATTGAAGTTTTTAATATCCATACCAGCCATCTCTGCTACATAAAATATCTTAAGTTCTTACAATTATCTTTTGTTTTTCATTATGTCACCCTCTTTAGGTTTTCTGTGTAATATTAAAAAAAAACACCTTCTAATTAGTTGAATGAAGGTATTGTGTCCAAATAAACTTTAATCACATTGAAATATTCATATCTGACACCTACCACAAGTAACAGGCAAAAAAGATCAAATTAACCTGACTCTTTCCATAGTTAAGAACATTGTCATTGTCATGAATAAAGTGAACTGTATCTAAACAATTATTTAACAAAAGTCTGTGTATGTGTATCTGCTTCGACTGCCGAAACCCGGACCAATTGTCATTAAACCTGGTATGTACCTTTAAGGCTCCCCGAGTAGCGATGTAGAGGGATGAGTCAGGGTTCATACCTGACCCTCCATGTCACCCCCAATGGATCCATATGTCTACTCTGTGAATTGTGTCCCCTTACAAACTGTTGGACTGATTGGTACCTTGTATGTTCCCTTGATGTCCCCTGAGGAGTGACATGGGGGGGGGGGGCATTTGGATCTGATGCCCTCATGTTACTCGGGGTCTTTCTACCTTTCCGTACATTTAACAGGTATGTCAGCTAATAGTTGCTAAAACACCTTTGTAAAGTTTTTTTTTTCTTGTTGTTTACTAGCAGTTGGTGTCAAATATTTTTATAACAGTAACATAACCCAACTCAGTAATATACACGGTACTTAGAAACACTTATGTTATACAATAAATGCTAAAGAAAACAAGTATTTTTTCTCTTTCAAAGTCAACATACAGCAGTGCTTATAAAGTGAAGAATAAAGACAGATCTCTCACCTAGTTCTGGGTAAAAAAAAATTCTTACCAGGGGTAGTGGAAGCAACAAAAGTCTCTAGTTTATTTTTCAGACTGTTAACCTCATGCTCTGGTAGGCTATATTCAGTTTCAAGATTCTGGTCCAACTGTTGACACTGTTCATCCAAATTACTGACATTCTACACACGCAGACAATACACACACATAAACATGTCGGAAACTTTCTCATGCATGAATGTACACAAGACATTACATTTTTGAAAATTAATAATGGAAGCACATACAATAAAACTATTGGTACAAATTTAATGTAAACAAGCATACATAAGAGTAGCAGTGATAAGACATGAAATATACTGTTCACACAATTTTATAGTTTATACTTATCTTTGTTACTGACAGTTTATGTGTGAAACAGTTCAAATATAGCCGATACAAAAACAACATATTAATATCTTACTTATAAAAGCTATAAAGTACACGAGCAGACAACACTAGCCAAGCAATATAATGAAACTCAACAACACATAAAGATGAAAGCAAGCAACATGCACTTTACCAAAAGATGAGTTTTCAAAAATGTACATGCATGTACGTACACTTATTAACTATGTGCTAGACAGTCCAAAAGTTGAAAAAATGGAATATATCTTAGTTAACAGTGAGCTTTCAATTGCTTTCTTAAATTACCCTTGAGCTTCTTTGTTGTGTATGTGTGGCTTTATACTTTCTTAAGTTGCACATTATTCTATGCTTTTTGTATTTTTCACAACTAAGGTAGGCACAGCACAGATAGCCCACTGTGTAGCTTGTGCTAATGATTCTTTCACGACCTTCTGTGTTATGAAATTAAAAAATCAAGAAAAAATATATAAAGGAAAAAACTTAGTTAAAATTTTAATCTTTCAGTACTTTTATATATGGTTTACAAAATTTATAAGATCAATCCATGAAAAATTAAAATTAGGTGCCAAGAATGGATGTAGCCTCAAAAGCATGGAAAACTGGCAAAAATCAGTAGCAACATAAGTATATTAAAAAAAAAAAAAGCCACCACACAGAAAAGCACAGTACAGATATTCATGCTTACATGTCTAACAGAACTTCAGGCTAGCAGAGAATGAGGTAGGCTTGTCTGGACAGGATTAAAACAGTAACTTATTTGTATTCAGAATAAACACAAAATGTACTTCAAAATCATAAAAAACAAACCTGATGAATGTATTTTTGGAAGAAAGAATTATCATTAATAGGGAACTAAGAAACTATTTCAAAAGTACATAGTACTAGCATGCTAGTCTGTTAATTAAGTCTTCAGAAAAGTATCAGGAAGTATAAAGTAAAATTTATATTGTGTCGAAAAATTATCCTCACCCATTTCATTAAAACAATCTCCCCAACAAATCATCTTAGCTCAGTTGGATGTAGTCATCTTTATATAAAGTAATGTTTTCTCAGTTTCTTACAAAATCTTCTTTATCACTGAATTAAAACTACTTAGCTGTATAATTACTGCATGAAGAATTAAGCTACTATTACTCACATGTTTTGTTAAGTCAAGCTTTTGCAGAGGGTCACCATTCTCATCTTTTGGTTCATCAAGATTTAAAAGATGCTGAAAAATTGAGTCGTATACATCTGTATTGTTCTCTTAGCAACCAGTGACTAAATTAAGAATATTTTCAAGTGTTCTTTATAACTATAATTAATTTTCTTTCTATTTTATTTTGTAATATCAGCATATCCAAATCTTCACAGGCCTTAACATTTGTGTATTTTTTGGCTTTCTTGCAAAAACCCTAAACGATTTTTCAAACAGTCCTTAAAACAAAAAAAAAAAAAAAGGTTTCCATTCTTCTGAGTTCTTGATCTGATGACGATTTGCTAATATTGATCTGGTGTAAATATCTGGTAGTTAAGATATTACATGGCTTCTGTTTTTTCTTTATTAGCAAGTTAAGATATTACATGGCTTCTGCTGTTACTTTACTAGGAAGTTAAGATATTACATGGTTTCTGTTGTTACTTTATTCTTTATTAGCAAGTTAAGATATTACATGGCTTCTTTTGTTACTTTATTAGCAAGTTAAGATACTACATGGCTTTGGTTGTTACTTTACTAGCAAGTTAAGATATTACATGGCTTCGGTTGTTACTTTACTAGGAAGTTAAGATATTACATGGCTTCTGTCCTTACTTTATTAGGAAGTTAAGATATTACATGGCTTCTGTCGTTACTTTATTAGGAATTCAAGATATTACTTGGCTTCTGTCGTTACTTTATTAGGAATTCAAGATATTACTTGGCTTCTGTTGTTACTTTATTAGCAAGTTAAGATACTACATGGCTTCTGTTGTTACTTTATTAGCAAGTTAAGATATTACATGGCTTCTGTTGTTACTTTATTAGCAAGTTAAGATACTACATGGCTTCTGTTGTTACTTTATTAGCAAGTTAAGATATTACATGGCTTCTGTTGTTACTTTATTAGCAAGTTAGGATACTACATGGCTTCGGTTGTTACTTTACTAGGAAGTTCAGATATTATATGATTTCTATTATTACTTTATTAGCAAGTTAAGATACTACATGGCTTCTGTTGTTACTTTATTAGCAAGTTAAGATATTACATGGCTTCTGTTGTTACTTTATCGGCAAGTTAGGATACTACATGGCTTCGGTTGTTACTTTACTAGGAAGTTCAGATATTATATGATTTCTATTATTACTTTATTAGCAAGTTAAGATACTACATGGCTTCTGTTGTTACTTTATTAGCAAGTTAAGATATTACATGGCTTCTGTTGTTACTTTATTAGCAAGTTCAGATATTACATGGTTTCTGCAGTTACTTAAAATAGTGTAAGGTATCAATTTATATTTTTTTCTAGTTATGATTTTCTTTATTGTTTACATATTTTATCTTCTATCATTTGATTCAGCTACACTTTATTTTGCCACCTACTTCCAAGTGTATATTAAACATGAGATGAGTGACATATGTAGTGTTTAAAGTGATTTGGAAAAGATGTCAGTATGTATGTATTGGGGGTGCAGGCAAGATGGCGTTTGGAGTACAAGTGCAGTGACCAGAGATGAAACATACTCGTGAAAGAGAGATTACGTTAGAGATTTTTGAAACTGTGGTATGTAAGGTATTTGTTTTATTAAAAAATATTACTGTAAATACTCACTTTATCTTTTATTTGTGATTTAATGTTAATTCTCTGAGAAGTGTCTGATATTGTTATTTTGAGTAATCTTACAAATTAGGTTTTTCTTTTTCTGGCTTGCTTTCCTGATGTCTTATTATTATATTTTGCAATTTTATTATTATCAGCTTTAGAATATTTGTGTTTGTTTGATTTGGAGATTGAGTCATTTCTTTATGAAGTCCTGGCCAAGCACTACTTTATTTTTTATTGATGATACTTTGTAAAGCTTGTATTGTTTTTAACAAATCTCAATTTTTTTTGTATTTTAGTAGTAACATGGTTGATTCAATATGCTACATTGCTGATGTTGTTATTTGATATGTTATAATACAGAAAATGCTCTTGTAAGACAAAAAGAACTGTCAGATCTTGCAATTCATTACTTGTATTAAAATTAAAAATACCGATAACAGGGTAACTAAGCGAAATTATACCTTATATATTTTCTGGCTGGTTTACAGTATCATCAAATCATCTTAATTTATTGTAATTTCGGTTTCTCTGTTTCTTCGATTTCTTTGCAAACTAAACATCATTATCAAATTTTAGACTTAATTTTATTGATCTAACTCTCCTTAAGTCGAGTTAATTTTTCTTAAATTGCTTAGTTAAGTTTACTTGTGCTGAGAAGTTACAACTAAAAAAAAAAAGTTTGAAGATGTTACTTTAACATCTGCTACACACTATTGAAATGTTTGTTGAATAATATACTTCAATTTATTTTTAAAACTTTCACAAACAGTAAGTTTTGCTATGTAATTAAAAATCATTGTATCACTATCACACCTCATGAAGTATGAAGACTTAACAGTAGAGGGATATCAAATCAACATGCTGTAGCCAGAATGATTTTTACTTTTGTTTGTGTGGAGCAAATGACTTAATGATTAGCATTGTACAGAAATGCAAGCTAGGATTTCAGGAGTGGGAGTAACTTCCCCTTCCTATGTTTATAATCAAAAGCACCATTTACAAGATGTATCAGTAAATAAAAGTAATAGTTAAATGTTGATACCTTTAACCTTTCCAAATTTTTGTTATCGTTGTCTTGAGATACTTCTTTTTTCTTCTCAGCTACTTCTGATGTCAACATGGCTTGTAGCTGTTTGTTTCGGGCAATTAAATCAAACACCTGTCAATAAAAGGACAACTATTTAATGTCTCTGGAGGTTTATATCCATGTGATTTATGTTTGTTTTCAGTTTCTCAAATAGAGATAACTTTCTGTAAAAAAATTCAATTTTATATGCATGATTAAATAAAAAATTGGTGGTGTTATTTCAAAATCCAAAGTGACTAGAAATATCTAAGGAATTATTAATTATATTAATAAAATAATGCTTTATTTGGGCATACAGCTGTGTAAATAATTACACAGCTAGAGTGTAATAATACTGAATCAAAGGTATATCAATGTTTTAAACCTAGAATATTCTAGCATTTTAGAGTATTTAGAAAAAAAAGAACAGTGTGTGCATGATATGTATTACTTCATACTCAAAATTCTTTAAAGTATTTACTACAAAATAAAGAACTGCACTGAGATCTAATAATTACCAAATGTGCTTACCTGATAGCTGGTATTTTCAAGTTGCTTACTAAGCATTTCCAAATTCTCCTTTAATGAGGCATTTTCCAAACATTTAATGGAGTATTTTTCACACAGTGCAAGTATTTCTTGCTTAATCTCTTCAAGTTCTGCCCTAATAATTTAAAAAAGTCAAAGTTTCTACAAAGTTGTGTACAACTAACAGATGTCAGCTTGAATTTCTCAATAGAACTATTAACTGAGAATGTGAAAAAATAAATTTCCAGTTAAAACTATCAGTTAGAATTACTCATTAAGTTATGAGCTGAAAATGATTATACACTAATTTCCTATTGAATATATAACCTAAAACATAAGGCAATCAAGTATTTAATGAAAAGACAGGAAGATATAAGAAACATAATTAATCAGTAGGCCTAATCTTCATGATAAGGTTCAAAATAAACTGCAGATGTGTTTCTATACATCGCTATTAATTAATCCATTGTACATTTCATACTAGAGTTATGTATGGTATGTTTGAAGTTAAGCCCAAAGCTACACAATGGGCTATATGTACTCTGCCCACCACGGGTATCGAAACCATGTTTTTAGCATTGTAAATCAGGAGACATACGGATGTGCCATTGGGGGGGGCCCAATTTTTAGTAAATATCGTACTTATGTTTGCTTCTGATATACACATTCTGTATTTGTGTAATATGCATGTCTTTGGAATCATAGGTAACTATTTATAATGTGATTTGACATTAAACACTGGGGCCAGGATGTGCCACTGGGGGCTAGAGATATGTAAAACTTGCATTTTAAATCTATCCTTTGTCTGTCACATACTTGCTCAGAAATATTAAAAAAATTAAGGTGTTATATGCCAAAAAGCTGGCAAGCTTTTAGCACATAACATCATGTAATTAGTGTTTGACACAATAAAAGAGAATCAAACAAAACAGTTGTTATTAATATAAATAACAGTTTGGAGCATTAGCCAAGATAAACTAACTAAAAGGAAAAGTCATTTTTTTTTCTTAAGAGATAATACTATAATACATATATTTAAAACAATTAGAAAGAAGCTTTGAAAATATTGTAGAGAATTCTACTCATTTTGTACAAAAAAAAATTAAAATTGTCAACAGAGAGAATCAGAGAACATACAAAAATTTTATGTTGAAATAATAACGGAAAGAGATATAGTGCTGTTTGGTTTTTCTAATATTGGGAATGAAAAAGCCTACTAAACTCAGTTTCAATGTTTTCAAACAAGACCCAAAACTCGAGCGCTTTCAATTAGTTGATTATTCTTCTTCAGAAGAATAAAGAAGAATAGATTTGGGTCTCGTTTGAAAACATTACAGCTTTTGTAGGTGATCCTTGTGTGCTAACTTCTTAACCAAAATCAGTTTCAAGTAATTCCAAAAATTACATCTAGCTTTAATGAATACAAACAGGATTATTAAGTATAATAGCATGAGCCTTTCCTAAAGGACTATTCTGTACTGCTGAACAAAGTGTATATATATAGCTAGAGTATTTATACTTACTCATGTTCTTTATACTGACTCTCCACATTGCATGGCCGTTCTGTCTGCTTAAAAAATTCTTCCTTAAACTTAGCAATTTCTCGTTGAAGTTCTTCTTTATGAGCTTTTCTCATAGCATCAAGGGCTGTAGACAGGATTAATGATTCCTTTTTTTTTAGTCAGTCAAATATATATGAATAAAACTAGCATGATCGAAGGACAACTAAAGAATGTAAGACGCAATCATCTCAATAGGAAAATATCAACATACCTTTGTATTCTATTTCACAATGCAACCTTTTCACCAATAAGTAAGTATGTTTTACTAATCAACATATATTAAATGATTTTATTCCTAAAAAGTAAACTACCAATTAACATAGGTTTAATGAAACATTAAAACCACTTAGTTGGTGTATGTGGATATGTTATATGTTAACAACAACAAAAAAAAAGTTTGTAGAGCTCGGAAAAACGAGTTTATAAGAAATCTTTCTGCTTACTATGGTTTATCACATTTTTTTAAATTTCTAATGAGAGATGTTAATCTTCAGTATTAAAATTTTTTGAATGAACTAGGAAAGTATCATTTTTAAAGTTTGAATTACAAATAGCATTGCAAACATGTATGGAAAAGTTTATGAAAATGGACATAAAAGTCAAGTACTATAGAAATCCAACCATCTTTGTCCTTTTGAGAATGAGCCGCACAAAAATACAGTCATCTGATTGGTTGTCATTCAGCCAGTAAAGTGCTACACCAATATAAAGTCTATAAAAAAGTAGAGGCAGTCACACTAAGCCCAGTGATAATAGTGTGATTCTAATCATGGTTTCCAAGACTGAAATTCTGCATTTCAAATGTGTAGAAATCAAAATTTTAACTGGATATGGATACTCAATGCAAAAGATTATAGCAACATATGTTTCAGTAGCTGCTGTATGCAACACTGTGAACAGGGTACATAAAACTGGTAGAAAAAAACTCAAACTTTCCAAAAGCGATGTTAGTTATTTTAGGGTATACTCCATCAGACAGATGCTAGTCAAGTATAGTTCTTACAAATTAATTTGCTGTAAATATAGATGTGAATGTTACCTAAAAACAGTAACATCCATATTAGCTGAAATGCAGCCTTAAACTTGAACTGGTCCACCACCATGCTTTGCTGTAGGTGTTACCATTCTCCTCTCTGCCATTGATTGTTGCCAAACAATTCAAACATCTCCAGCTTTGCTTATTCTACTGTTTGTGATCACATGCTCATTTTAACCTTTTGGTATGGCTTCCTTTGTCAGAAATGGTTGTCAAGCAGCTAACTACTCATCTGTAGAGTTCATGTCATGCCATCAGTGTCAGTGGTCTACATATAATTTATGGAACCCTGATAATTGACAAGTTCAAGCATATCAATCCATCACACCATTACCACAGAAATACAACACATATGGGCTTATGTAAAAACTGAGAAGGTCAAAAGACAATCACATAATTTGGCTAAATTGTGGGGAGTAATAAAAGGCATTTATATTCCATAATCTTACATTGATAACAAAAGACAATCAAATAATTTGGCTAAATTGTGGGGAGTAATAAAAGGCATTTATATTCCATAATCTTACATTGATAAACTACATGGCAGCCTGGAAAATGAGGTCTGTTGCTCTTTGGCCTCAACAAGTTACTAATGCACTGTAAAACTTATACGCTTATCTTTTGCATTTTCTGTAATAATGTTTTGTAACAAAAGCACAATGACAATAGCAAATGACATTTAAATCTCAAACTTCTTGGAATATAGATATTGCATTTCCAGCAAGCTATATCAAACAAAGTAAAGGGTAAGTTATAAAGATTTCTAAGTTTACAGCTACAACATATCCTAATGAAGAATTAAAATATGAAGTAATAGTATGACAAGTTACATAAGTTATTTAGAACAGATATGATTAACTGAAGGTGTGTTATTACATATAGTTAGGAGACCACTTAACTAAGACTTCATTATTTGATGATACAAACGAGATGGTTTTGAATCTTTTTAATCAAAATGGGGTAGTTGCTGTTTTCACCATGTACGAGAGTTTCTATAAGCGTGAACTGCAGAACTTTGATGATTTGATAGTTGCTTTTCAATTCTCTTTAACACTCTCATGTGTTGGGCTCTATCCAAAATGTTTCAATTTAATTTCATTCTATTATTCTGAACTTTTGAATTCATCATTAAGAAATGCTGTAACTCTGAAACTTGTGTTTAAAATTGTTTAATATAGCTTATTGAAGATGGAATATATATATATATATATATCTTCTGTTACCATTCCACAAGTGTCCAATGTCTGTTACCATTCCACAAGCATCCAATTTCTGTTACCATTCTACAAGTGTCCAATGTCTGTTACCATTCCACAAGTGTCCAATGTCTGTTACCATTCCACAAGTGTCCAATGCCTGTTACCATTCCACAAGCATCCAATTCCTGTTACCATTCCACAAGCATCCAATGCCTGTTACCATTCCACAAGCATCCAATGCCTGTTACCATTCCACAAGCATCCAATGCCTGTTACCATTCCACAAGCATCCAATGCCTGTTACCATTCCACAAGCATCCAATGTCTGTTACCATTCCACAAGCATCCAATGTCTGTTACCATTCCACAAGCATCCAATGTCTGTTACCATTCCACAAGCATCCAATGTCTGTTACCATTCCCCAAGCACTCAAGTATTAAATGTCTGTTACCATTCCACAAGTGTCCAGTGTTTGTTACCATTGTCATTGTGATTTTACTACTCATTAAGTTCCAATTCACATCTGATGAATCTGTTTGCACCATTACTAAATTCACCATCTTGTTACCATTATTCTCTTGTTTGTATGTGTGTTTCCATAATTACAGTACATAGAGCAAGCAATCTCCTCAATGGGACACATTATACACATACCTGCTCTAGTTGCCTGAATTTCTTCTGCTAAAACCTTCTCCTTTTCATTCTCCAGTTGTTTAAGTTCCATTTGATGTTTTTTCTGCATATCTGATATCATTCGCTTGTATGAGTTTTCCATTGCTATCAGTCCTTTTTCAGAGAGACCCTACAAAATAGCAAGAAAATAGCTTAGCTTATCTCTTCTACTGCACCCTTCAACAATGCCTATCTGTTGTAATTCACTTTTACCATACAATAACATTTACAATTTAAGTTTAGTTGAACATGTATGCCCATCTTATAAAATAAAACATGGCAGAGATTGTAAACAACAAGCAAATGGCCAATCACAGTATGTCCATTTCAGTTCTTGCATATGATGACCTGTCTATTAATATAATAGTATTACATTTACTTTTAGGATCAGTAGGACTGAAAATGTCACAAGTGATTTTTGAGCTGCTAAAGATCAATGAATATGACATCGTAAAACAAAGGATTCAACCGTGAAATAATAAACAACCTGATTTAGTGGTTTTGACACTAAGCGTAGCAAAAATGGCAAAATTATAGAAAATTTGTCATAAATAAATCAGAATAAAATGATTAAACTTAGCTTTAAATACATCCTTAATGTAACCTGTAATATCATGGTTAACATAATACTGTGTAAAAAAAAACATTACAAAAAACAGAAAACTATTTAGTTAGTACTGGACAAAACAACTAACTGTATTAAACTTGTAATTTGCTTAGTGGCTTCCTTGAATAATACTATAGAATACATAGTGAAAATATCAACTGCTATCGGAATAAATAATTCAGCAAATTTAAAGATATTATATACTGACTGGTTTATTTGCAAAACAAATTACAATGTTTAATGAAGAACATTCACAGGCTATGTCGAACAATTACTATTTTATTTTTTGAAACACTACGAGCTTACAAACTGACCTTCCACTGTTCAATCTCCGACTGGTATCGTCTTCGTATGGCCTCCTCGCTGATGACATCATGTTTTGTTTCAAGTTTGTGGTGGTAACTCTCAATTATGCTCTTCATCTGTTCCTCATGTTCCAGCTGTAATAAACAAACAAATCAGATCAGAAATACTATTCTAAAAGCTGTAGTTCACTCACTAGGTAATGGAACTTGATACGTTGTGTGTACTAACTGAATGTGTAAACTGAACATTTTTACCCATATTTATAGGTTTTATTTTGTGATGAATTCCTACTGTTATTAATTCTTACTATTAATCCAAGTTATAAATTAGCTAATTCATTCCTGAATAAAAATCCATGAGACAGTAGCACTACAATAAAATGAGCAAGATTTTAATCTGATGTGAAACTGTACATAGTTTGTAAACTATGATACAATACTGTTTAATGACCAGACCCTCAGTAAAATTCATGTTCGGAGAAATGTAGAAAAAAATTCTAGCATTGACATAAGATTTTCTAAATCACATATTTGTACTATTTCCCTAATCTAATTTTCTGAACAGGCCTTTTTTTTGGATGTGTTATTTCTTTTTCCGATTTGTCTTGTATGTTGTTTTCTACATATCGCTGCTCATTTGCTATATGGTACAGCTTGAATTATTTTCTGTCAGTCATTACTCTGTTCTGCGGAGTGTATGCCGATAAATATAAAATCATATCTTATATTATTTTCTGTGTATAATTTGTAACATTCATATCTCGGATCTTGTTATGTATATCAGTTGTAACAATTCATCCCAGGTCTGTTATATAGACTGTCTTCAAAGTGTTACATCTTAAGTTCTGTTCAGTAGTGTTTGTCACAACTAAGTTACACATCATGATATGTCAAGATTACTTTTCAGTGCTAAACTATGAAGACTGAGATAAAAAAATGTTAAAAGGAACCACTTCAGCTTGTGTAATGGTAATTTTACATATTAATAATATAATATTACAATATCTTTGAGATAAACTCTTCTGACAACTAAATCTAGAGCAAACTCGGATGACTCAACAATACAAATACTACATCTCATTAAGCAATTATAATGTTGGTCATTTAATAAAAGTTACTTACAATATAACTTTTAAATAATAGTTATGTATATTTACTTTATTTTCTTATCTAAAGGCAAAAATAATTTTAAATTCAAAATGGTTTATTATGCCAAATTAGTTTTAATGAAATCTTCTGATGCTGCTCTTTTTTGAAACACACCAGTTCACTGAATTCACTAAGACTTAAAAAGGTTAATTTTTTCCCCTTATCAGTAAATAGTAATTTAATTTTTTCTGAGCTAATGATTTCCTGTGACATACTATTTCCAATTGAAACTGTCTTGTGATATTTTTTTTTCCGTGATTTTGTCATATTTTTAGAAACAAAGATAACAAGTAACGACAGATTTGGTTTTATCAAGTATGGAGTGTTAATCAGTCAGAGACTAAACGTATTTTTAAAAATCATGAGCCTGTTGATATTCAGTCTTCTCCACATAGCTTACAATTTTACACTAACAACATTGTTACGAACTTGGTCACTTTCATCTAGACTAGGCTTTAAAGGTGGGTTAAGGGTTAGGGTTCTGTGAAAGAATGAATAAAGTAAGAGGGTTATGTGTCCTTGTAAAGTTTGGGGATCACTGTTATAGCATATCCATTACCATAAAGTTGGAAGTCCAATTTTTCTTTTTGCAATAAAGAGGTTCTCAAATTCACAGCCATACACATTAATGACTAGGCCATGCCTAGCCGAACATTTTAGTATAAAACAATCAAATGTGACTTAAAAAATTGAGTAGGATATCATCATGTGTATATTATAAATTAATCCATAAAGTAGTGATTGTTGTCACTTTTTTAATAAATCAGTATGACTGACAACTTTGCTATCTTGGAAACAGAAACACTCTATATACAAATATATAAACTTACATAAAGATATTTATGTTTACCTCAAGATATTTCAAATGCTTCTGAGAAAGTTGCAGTTCACTTTGAAGTTCAGAGATGTTCTCAGTGTGGAGTTTATCCTAAAGACCCAAAAACAAAAAAAAGTCTGATAAGGAAACACAATGGACAAATCAAAATCATTTTATTCTCTTAACCCTTTCAGTGCAAACTATTATTTTGAAGGGTCTGTTTTCAGTTTCTGTAGGTGTGCAGCCACTGGTTGGCTTATAGTCATACAGAACCTCATGTTTATAATTCACATCATAAGATACAAATCTTAACAAAAGTATCAAGACAAATCACTTCAATTTAAAATGTACCCCAATTTAAAACAACACAACACCTCTCACTGTATACAGTTCCATTTACAATTTTATAATTTTTCAACCAACATATGGAAAAAAAATTCACCAAACACAAACGATTACTTAAGAAGATTAAAATATCAAACAATGTTCCTAAAGTCCCTAATATTGAAAAATACCCTGTAGAGGTTCAAAACGATTTCAGTTGAAAAATATTTGTTTTTAGTTTTTGTACAATTGTATTAAAGTTTAAAACAAACATTCCTTAAGTCAGCACAATGTTACAGTCTTATTGTCCAAGTCCTTTACACAGTGAGGCTTCACATTTCAAATGAGTATTACTAAACTCTCCAGAAATACTTTATACTTTAGAGACCTAACTAAATCTTCATTCTGATTATTATCAGGTTTTTGAAAAGAGTGCTATATAATAATGTCCTCTAAACAGTCAATTAGAGATTTTTTTTCACATATACACAAAAAAAATTACCTTGATTAATTTTACAAATTAACTCTCATCAGGCTGGCTGAAACACAATACACATAGCAGCAGTTATGATAATATTACTAGTATCAAACTGTATGAACAACAACTGTTATGATGTGAACTAGATAGGCCCGGCATGGCCAGGTGGTTAGGGTACTGGACTCGCAATCTGCGGGTCGCGGGTTCGAATCCCCGTCACACCAAACATGCTCGCCCTTTCAGCCGTGGGGGCGTTATAATGTGACGGTGAATCCCATTATTCGTTGGTAAGAGAGTATCCCAAGAGTTGGCAGGTGGGTGGTGATGACTAGCTGCCTTCCCTCTAGTCTTACACTGCTAAATTAGGGACGGCTAGCGCAGATAGCCCTCGTGTAGCTTTGCGCAAAATTCAAAAAGAAGAAGAAGAAGTGAACTAGATTAAGCTGTTGGAGAGCAATTTTTATCAATTCTATAAAAAAAATGATAAGAAAACAGTTTGATATGTTTAACCCCTCCCCTTTCTAAAAAAAATAGGGACTCCTTAAATCAGAAAGGAATTATCACCAATAACTTTAAACAAAAAGGCTACAATTTTTTTTTTTACCAGACCTAAAATGTTGAAATTCTTTTAAAAGTAAATATTTTAAAAAATGCAACATTATAATACAGAAATTCAATTTGTAAATCAAATATTACCTGCTTCTCAATAAGCTCACGCATTTCTTTTTTTATGGCTTCCACTTCAGCAAGATGGTTTGATTTAAGACTCTCTATTTCCTCTTGGTGTTGTTTCATTATTTGTTCTGAGTCCTGAAATATGTCCAGCTGTGCCTGTAACTGACAAATTTCTTCTCTGAGTTCTTGGCAAGTAGAACACCCTTCTTCAAACTGCTGTCTCTGTTGTTGTTGCAAAGTTGTCAATTGTAATTGGGACAGATCTTGTTCATAACTACTTTTCTCTTCAGTTAAATCTTCATGAAAGCATTTCTGTAGATTAGCCTCTCTGGAAGCACTCTGTTTAGCAATGTTTTCCAAACATTTCTCATTTACCTGAGCTACACAACTGTGGGAAGTCTGTGGTAATACACAAAGAACTACTCGTTGATACAAATTATCCCTCAAGTAAGTTATCCACTGTTTTTCTTCTATTCCAGAACTTTCCTGTGTATTAAATCGAGTTTTTGAATTACTAATTACGACTTCGGCTTTGCTCTTCAGATATGCAATAGAACCATGTATAATGCCACTGAAAGCTGTAAGATTTGCTAAGTCAGTAATTTTCGTCAAAATTTCTTGGCTAAGAGAACATTTCAATTCTAACTCATGTAAAGATTCCACTTTCGATAAACCAGTCTTCAGTTCATTTGAAAATATTTTCTGTTCTTTTTGCAAAGACTTATCAATTAGGTTATACCAAAGGTCAAATGACTCTTGATCATAGTGCAGTAAATTGATTTGTTGGTTTCTTTGATGGGCTATTAATCTTAGGTATTTTTCACAGGTTTCTGTGACAACATGGAGGAGATTTTCTGAAAGTAATTCTTCATTAATGGTTCTTTTGACTGATAGTTGGTTAGCTCTATTCTCAGTGACAAATGCTTCTTTACATCTGAGTGGTTGTATTTCGCATAATTCATTATCAGAGATGTTTTTAAGGGAAGACAAAAGAGTTGATAAATTATCAGCTCTGTTAGTATTGAAGGCCTCACTGATGTGTAAAAACTGTTCTTCTATATTTTCTAGTTCAGAAGTTATACTGAAGCTATCATATTGGATGCCGTCACAAGAAGCATCAACCTGCTCTGCTGCTACGAGATCACTTCTATGTTTAACCAGAAGAAAATCTTTAAGGAAACCAAACAAAGTTCTTTTTATTTCTTCATTAACCTCTTTAGATGTAGCTTCTAATGAAGACCATTTTTTTTCTAGGGTTGACAGCCAATGACTTACATGGTTTATTTCCTCAATTAAATCTTTCCTTTTAGACATATCAAAGTCAGTAAGTCTGTCTATGGCTTTTACAACTTCACAAAAAAAGATTAGTCGATACACCACATCTAATAACATTCTTTTATCCGAGTTGATGTGTGTATTTTCAAAACCATTATGAGATAAATTATCAATAGTTTTTACAAGATGCTTTAATTCCTTATTAATGCTGCTATCAACTTCCTTTCCTTGTGTATGCAGAAGATATAAAATATTATGAAACCAGAAACCTAAAGATTGGATTTTCTCAGAAATGAAGTGAACACATTCAGAGAGTGACTGAGGTTGCATTTTGTCATTTTTCTCTGCTTCTAATTCACCCAAGTCACAAAAACTATTATTCAAAGATAAAGTTTTCCACTCTTCAGGACCACTTTCTTCACTGTCATTCGTAATTTGTAAAAAAATCTTTGGTTTTTCCAAATTATCTCTCTGACCAATCTTTTGGTCTGAAAATCCAGCTAAACTAGAAACATTTTTCACTTTTGTATCCAAATTATTGAGTCGAATAAGTAAGTTCTGAGTATCTGTTAATGGGCTTTCAGAGCGAGGTTGAATTTGACTCTTTGGTTTTTCAGTTTCCTTGATGTCTTGTGATTCTTTAAGAGAATATACAATGAATCCTAATTTCTCTTCAAGATCTACTATTTTTCTTTCAAACTCCTTGGATAAGTTCAAACCTTCTTTTCCACGAAGTGAACTTTTTCGCCTTTCTTGTCTGGATTCATTTCTTGCAAGCTTCTGCTTTGTCTGGCGGAAATTTCTTTCAGATACTGTGAGTTTCGATGTTAAATCATCCACCCGTGCAGTCATCAGAGCTAACTGAGAGGAATGATCTTCTTGCATCCTCTTTATATCTTGCTGCAATTTGAAGTAGTTGATTTCAAGGCCATCAAAATTTTGGTCTGCTTCGTTTAATTTCCTTTTGAGACTCTTTACCACTTCATTTACTGTTTCAAGTTTAACTTGGAGTTCTGAGTTCTCCATTAGTAAGAAAGAATCTGGTTGTTTAGTAGTTGCTCCATCAGAATTACAAATAGAGTTTTTTAGCATGGTCTCTAAATTTCTAACATGGCCTTGCAGGTCAGTTTGGTCCTTTAATTTTTCTAGCTCAGCATGTACTTTTCTCAGCTCTTTCTCCAAATCTATAATATCAGTCTTACGAATATCCAGCTCAATTTTGAGTCTTTCAATTTCTTTCTGTCGATCATCACAAACTCCTTGAAGTTCAGCTTTCAAATTCTTTAATTTAGAAATTTCATTATCTTTCTTAGATCTTCTTTCACTGATTCCAAGTAACTTCTCTAGTTCCTCATACAGCTTAGAAACTTCCTTCCAACAGACCAAGCTCTCCTCCCTCTTTTCGGGAGATTTCTCGAGATTACACTTAACATTCATCAACTGATTTTTACAGTTTTGGATAGCCCCTTGTAATTCTTCTGCTTTCCCTAACTTGGAAGGAATGGATAACTTTCTAAATAGTTTTGCTTCCCACTCTGCTCTGTCTTTCTTGTACTTGAGCTTTAAAGATTCATATTTTGATTTGTATGGATTTTCTCCACTTTCACTTTGTTTTTGATGTTTTCCTTCTAATTTATCTTCAGGGTTTTTATCAGAAATGTCTTTGGAATTTCCTGTAGACATCTTCTGTTGATGCTCTTTACTATTCTTTATGGATTTCAGTTCTTCAGGTAACCGATGTTTTTTTTCCAAAAGCTCTTCTTTACTATCATTTACATTCAAAGACTTAGGTGCCAAGTCTTCATCTTTTGTTTCTTTAGAGTAACAGCAGTTTTTCAGAGATGGTGTTGGACTAGCTAATCTCGCAACACATTTGTTATCAAAATTGTTATTTCCATCGTCCAGAACTTTATTCATGCGTTCCTAAAACATAACAAACTTTCTAAAAAAAAAGACTTGAAGCAAGTCAAAAATTGTTTATAACTGAATCTAAACTAATAAAGAAAGATGATTGTTTTTAAAGAATATGAACAAACATGAACTGATAAAGTGTAAAATCCAATTAGATGTATTACTCAGGAATGAAGGGTTGTGTCACTATTTTAGATATTACAATATCTTTAAGCAACTTATCAAACACTGTTCTTAAAAGGGTTTTTCTATAGTAAGTAAATTAAAATAAATACATAAAGTATTTTATATTAACTGATTTGTTTACATAATATCATTTTCAGTGAATTAACAGGGAATATGAAGAGTGATCCTGAAATATTGAGGTTAAATAATAATTCTGTGCTGTCTAGTTAAGCAAGTAATACGAAAATAAAATGTAATTATGACTATCATAGCTTGTTTTGTTAATATTAAAAGTTTATTCATCTAATTCTGAACACTTTCTATTATATTTATTCAGTATCAATTTTTTTGTAATTTTCCTCTTCTGTTTTTAGGATTACTTTTAGAACTAGCATACTGTCAAGATGTAATTTAAATTAATTGTAATTTGAAATGCACTGTACAAAATCAAGATAAAGATGTAGTCAGTGTATTGGACATAGGACCACTCTTTTCCTTCGGGATTTCTTTGTATGTTGTAGGTAGAGATAATTAGAAATATGTATTTTTGAAAACACACTGTATTTGAAATTACTGTATTCTTTTAAATTACAATTTGGCAGAATGTTAGTTCTAAATTATTTCCTACATGTATAAATAAATTTTGGTAGCCAGTGTTTGGACCAAATGTCCACATATTTCTCTATTATTTATAGCGGTCTTAACAATTATTTTATATTTTCAGAGTTTATCTCATTCTAATTATATTCATTTGTTGTTCATATCTTAAAGCTTACTCTGTATGAGAGTCTTCCTTCCCAGTATGGTGAATCTTTTCCATGTACACTTGAACTAGACCTGTCACTTATTCCGCCATCACTCTGTTGGTCAACCTCCATACCACATGTATTTTGTTCACTATCTGTGGCTGCAGATGATCGTAGCTGCTTACCAGCTCTATACCTTGATGACGAACATGATCGAGCCTTTTCTTTGACTTTTGAAATGGCAGTTCTATTCAGAGGTGGAGATGGAGGCAACGTTCGTGGCGAAACTAGTTGTTCAGTCAGTTCTTCTTCATCCACAAAAGAAAAATATTCTGAAGGGTCATCACTAGAAGAAACATCCAATAGTTTGACTGGATCATGATCACGCACAGGGCTAATTACACCAAGTTTGCTCCTGGAAGCAATATCAGTTACTCCCTCTGTACGACCCTTCTTTTGCATTTCTGGTATGACACATTTTGCAGCGCCATCAATAGCCTGGATCCAGTTGTTTCGAATCCCAGCAGTGATGGCAGCAAATACATATTTTTTGTTATCAGTAGTCTGGAGAAAATTACAAAATATGTTATCTGATAGTAATATCAATGCTTATTAAAGATATTAAACACCACACTAAAGATTTTACTTACTATATTTATGTGAAAAACGTAGTTTTGACAACAAGATAACTATGTCTCATGCATAATTTAAACAAGTCATATTTTTAAATTAGAAACATAAAAAAATACTCTGAAGAATTTGTTTAATTCATATTATTGTTTCATTTTTTTAATCTCTTAGATAAAATTATGAAAAAAAAATTTTGTATTGCTTCATTTCCTTGATATCCGATTAAAAGACTTACAAACAGAAAAACAGGCAATAGAAAAAATTTACAAGTACTACAGATATGTGACATACATATCTAAAATGGTTGTAATGTATTAGATGGCTCAGCCCAAACAAAAAATAGTTTTAATTAAAAATATTTTTATCACAGCAAATCAGCAATGCAAACTTACTGTAATACAAAATGCGTGGTCTTTATCCGTTTCCATTTCCTCCACTCCTTTCACCAACTGTAAATCTAAAATACCATCCATATTTTTTGACTCTTCTGCACTAGGGTTGAGGTAAAATGTCAAAGAGGAGTTGCGAAGAACAAACCAGTGTTTATACCATTCATTATGACCTTGTCTCAGTAACCAGCCTTTCTTAAGAAACAAGTCCTAGAGTCAAGGAAAAATATGTTATATAAAAAAATAAGATAATCGAAACACTTGTTCATCCCCATCAGCCTATTTATGTAATCTAACATGCTTTTTAGTATGTATCGTTGGTTACAAAATATACGACTCAAGTTTCTAAGAAAAAGTATTTATATTAATTTTTCTCATGAAAGAAGTATCTTGTCTGCTGTATAAAATTAATTATTCTATCACTGTTTCGGTTTACAAATAATTCTGACAACTCATGCAAAGAAAAAATAAGATTATAAATTAGATCTTATACTTTAATAAGTCAATATACGAACACACAAATATATAATTATATGTAGACTTAAAACAAAAGTATTTTCAATAATCTAAACAATTTAATGATGTTCGTGCACACACACTTTAAAACTATGAATTCTTCCATTTGTGTAAATTTTTACTTTTTCTTTGATGTGTTTATACTATAGCACACTTTAATGTTATACCTTTGGCACCAAACACACTAACCAGACTATCTTTGTTGTAGAGTGCAACACAAGCATTAGAGATTGAGATACTATAAACATATTGATCATTGTGGGGTTTATTTCTCAAATGGATTCTTTTATGTTTGTGTGTTTACATTCAAGTTGGACAGAAGATACGCTTATTTCAGGATTCCCAATACATGATAAGTTCAGTTCTTCTGTGAAGATGGTTGCTTTATAGCAGTGGTATACCAGGTTAATATGTCCGAATATAACTTAAAAATCTGCGTATCCCATATACCGAATATTATCACTTCTCTCTCTCTCTCTCTTCCTATAAGAATATACATTATTTTTTAATAGTTTTTATAGAATTTTTTACCACAGGTGTGGACTCTGAATGAATCAGGGGTCCTGAGTGAGAAAAGTCTAATCCGCATCCATCTGGATCACCACGTACCTGAATATAAAATAACACACATGGACTATTTCTACTGAAGAAAAACATTTTTTCTAGAAATTTAAGACATATTTTCATTTCACAATACTGATAACTCAGGTGATACACAACCAGTGAAAAAATAACCACGACCAATAAAGTAATCTGTTATTCAGAAGTTAATCAAAACATTTCAACAGCTTAAGTTTGTACTATCAACCAATTACTGTAGTTTTCAGGATATAAAAAAAATCTGTTAGAATTAAGAAGAAACTCTGAAACCTAGTTAGATTTGGTAACCAAATAACTTTCAATGGACCACAAACAGCATTGCTAAATAGAAATTGGATGGTAGTTACACATTTGATACAGTTTTACATGCTTCAGATTAACTATTAAAACTTCTATAGATATAAATAAATGCTTAAGTGGTTGAGCTACTTCTATATCGCATTTAACATTTTTCCTGTCTAATACCAAGTTTTCAACAAAAGCATGCCATATAATAAAAGAATGCAGCATTAAAATTAAACTTTAACAATTTTCACAAGTTATCTGTAATCTGATGATATCTAAACTAAGGGTATAAACTATATTTAAGATATTTTTTTCACTTCTTTAATGGTCTTCCTTCGTAGCAATTACGTATCAACTTAACTCAATCTAAGAATGTTCTGGTTTCTAAAGCTGCAAGAGTAATTAATTTTTCAGTCGAAACAAAAATAACACTTTTCCTTAAGAATTTAAAACCAAAGGTATTAATACAGCTACTGTATTTAGGTTAAAACTGTAATGGAGTGGTAGTGTTTTCTTGATAACTGGAACACTTTTTTGTTATTTTTTTCTTATACATGGACACAAATTTGTTCAAGTGATTGAATAACCTAAGAACTTTGTTAGTGCTCCATTCTCCGATATGTAACATTTATATTTGTTACAGTCAATAAACTCAAAATAATGTCTCAAAACGTTTCCCATCATGTCTTAAAGAAACACCATAAAAATGTTAGTGAATCCACTCATTTGAATAGATTATCATAATGAATTCAATCGTAAGTTATTTCACTTAGTGGTTTGATCACACCTATAAAAGACAAACTGCAATTTAAGAAGCTAAGGAAAAACTAAACTTAACTTTTAAAACTGTAAAATTTTTCTTTGATTTAACAGTAACTAGTTTGTATCGAGTAAAATCATCCACATTAAGTGACATCTTTGAACAACTGTCCATATTGTAAGTGGATGAGGTAGTTACCTTGTCCTGATTCTGCCATTTTGTGGGAGAAAAGCTAGTGTGTGATTCTGACTGCTGAAGTCCCTGATTGTCACACTCAGACTGTTCTTGACAGTCTTTATCAAGTGGAATTCGTTGATTAATTGTTTCTGATAATGAAACCAAATGAATAATATTATGAAACATATAAGGGTATGTCTTGATTATATGATTTTTAGTATTTTACAAGTAAACACAAGTAACAGATACAACAACTTTCAGCTGCCATTGTAACCTTCCTATTAACATATATATATATATACAGAGCAATTGACGATGAAGAAATAAAAAACTAGTTTTACCACCTTTTAGGCCGCAAAAATAATTTCTAGTTTCATTTTCCAAATTTCAGGACGAAATCATTAATAAATGTCAAACATCAACAATAACTTCATTCATCAATTAAAGCAGTTTCTTTAGCCTACAAACTTAAAACATTACCACAGAGTGAATGAAATTTCTCTCAACTATCTTGAAGTGATTGTCAACTCTTTCAATGGGCATGGAGTGAATGATATCTCCTTCAAATACAACATAATATACTATGAAACAGCAACAAAATTAAAATATAAGATAAATAATAATTACCAGTTCATTAGTAATAAAACTATTCACATAGTGTGAAATCTACCTTGTTCACTAGTACATGCTAAAATACTTTTCTCGGTGTGTAAATGAAAGGAATTCTGGTGTTTCTTCCTATCTGTATCCCTGGTTACTGGAGATGGTATCATCTTAGCAACTCCATCAGACCGGCTACGCTGACTTCTTATGCTACGTCCATCTCTCTTCAAGTAACGTCTTACACCAATTTTCCCCTTATCTGTATTTTCATCTGGTTTATCTCTTGAAGTTGGAAAAAACAAAAACAAAACTTCTGATTTTTTTTGAGCCAGAAAACATTTATCTTATTCATATGTTTTAGCATCAAATTCTTATTATATATATTGTACAAAATGTATTTTTAAGGCTATTATAAAGTTTTTAATTAATTCATAATCTAAGAAGTAAAAGGATTTAAATTTTTTCAGGTTAATTGGGATCATATTCATTTTTAAATAAGAAAATGTATATTGTGATAATTCATAAAAACACAATAATAACCCATCAGCATAATAATGCACAAAATATTAAAGAATTAACAAAACATAAAAATTCCAACTAGTGTCAAAACTAGTTAGATTTTTATGTTTTTTAATTCTTTAATCTTTTGTGCATTATTATGCCAATGTGTTAACTGTTTTTCACGTTTTCATTTCAGCATTTCACAAACAGGTTAAGCCTAAATATATATATTAAGAAGTTTCATAATTAGAAAGACATGGTTTTAAAGAATTTAAAAACTAGGTTAAAAATCACGATTAAGTAATTAAACTTTCCATGTTTGACGATCTTTTTAAATCAATGCATTAACAGTGTTTTTACCTTGTTTTTCAGGATCTTACTTTAGAAGGAAAGCTTCAAAAATGATGTTCAAAAGTAATTTAGAAAACTCCTCAAATGTTTTTAGGATATGCAAGTAAATAATTGTCTTTCTCAAACACATTTGTAAAGATCATATGGCCCCCAGCCTCTCAATTTGTTCCAAAGGTACCTTTTATAGCTTTAACTAAAGGATAGCTGCATTCTACTTCCTCGATAGATATCAAAAGTTTTAGTTTTGAGAACTAGAAACAAGTTCAGCACCAAATATTTCCTTTGACTAATAATTCTGCCCAGTTGGATTAGTGAACTTGTAAGTTATCGATAGCTCCTTACAAAACTGTAATAGTGAAATACTGAGCCAGTAAAGATACATTCAATTGATATACATTGTTATAATATCTACAATGATAGAAATCTCTCATAATGAACTACAGTTTTTATTAAACAAACTTACACAAATGAATATTCACAAAACAAATGACTTTCCAAAAATGAAAATTAATATTAAACTTTAGTTTATAAACATGGCAGGTGATCTCAAAATTACTATTGTACATGCTACATTGTTCAAAAATTAAATCAGTTTCTTTTTCTTTTAATCCACTAAAAAATCCACTGTAAATACCTAAGAACACAAGGAAATTTTAGAGTGAAAAATTACCACTGTTCATTTTTGTTTAATAACATTTGAACACATGTGGAAACCTCAATCGGGGAAATTGAAAATCTCAATTTATATGGTGAATCCACCATTAGATATCCTTATATTACAGCATGCAAAATTTTGTAGTTTTTTTAATTTGTCGATATGAAAAAAAAAGATTACAAAATTTATACAATACTCCATCTGCAGAGCACATATACACTGAGTGATCACAAGTAAATAGACATCAGTTAAATGACGAAAAATTAGGTTTATGCTAACTAATTTGTGTTCACATAGCACTATGTAAATGAAAATGGTCCGCACACTAATTATCTTGTGCTACAACATGCCTAAAATTCAAGGTTCTCTCGAATTATCAGATTTTGTTAGAGGAAGGATAGTTGGTCAAGCAGATGGTGGAATAAGTCAGCGGCAAATTTCGCAGAATTTGGGAATCCCGCTTTTGACAGTTAACAGAATTGTCGTGCAGTTCAGGAAACACGGCAAGGAAACAACTGAGCAGCGTCCGGATCGTTCTGGTCCATCGGAGTGGACAAAAAGGGCTGTCAAGAGGAGCATCGAAATGAATCCCAGATTAACGACTGCAGAAGTGGCCAAAGTTGGTGGGATGAGTCCAAAATCTGTTCAACGGGTTTTATTCCTCGGGTTTCATGGACAAGAACACAACGTTGTTCCAAGAAG